GACTTGGTTGAGAAGTTGAACCACTTTAAATCTTTGTGCCTAATTTTTCTATCTTTTGCTCTCCTTACTCCCTAAACATATTTTTACCAATTAACCCCTTTGCACTTTTCGGTTGTCAATTTGAGCCTCTTCATAATCCCAAAAAATTCTGACAAATGAAAATATTGTAGTTGTGCAGTAGTCCAAGTAAATAGTTGGAATAGCTTAGTCGGTTTTCTTTGCAACTCTGAATTCTCCTTTTAATTTCAATATGTTTACCCATCAAAATAGTTATTTAAAGTAATATGTCAAAAGACATGCAATGGCCTATTAGCTCAGTTGGTTAAAGCGTCGTGCTAATAATGCGATGGTCGCTCGATACCTGCATGAGCCAATTATCCTTACATAAGTTATTGTTTCTCCCATTGTGAAAAAGAAATATTGTAAAATAATAGAAAATTATTCTAATTTGATATAATCAAATTCAACATTTATTTTGCTTATATATATATATATATATATATATATATATATTAATTTTATTATAGACTATAAAATTCTGAAATCGACTGTACAATAATTTTTATGAAATTATTTTATTGTTTCCTTTCTTTAATATTTAATTTTGATTGGACTTTTTAGACCTTTTATTTACTAGCTTCATGGATATTTCTTTATATAATCTAGTTTCAATGTTTGAGCGTGGGTTCTTTATTTATGAGTATAATGAAGTTATTTTTAGATTCGAGTATGCCATGTCTCTCGTATACGTGTGGTTCATGGATATATGATTAACTATAAGAATACGATTATACAATATATTCATTTTATATTTTCAAAAGACATGCAATTGCCTTTAGCTCAGTTGGTTTGAGCGTCGTGCTAATAATGCGGTCACATGTTCGAGACCTGCATGGGCTAATTTAAGACCTTTCATTTACCAACTTCATCGATATCTCTCTCAATAATCACGTTTCAAGGTTTGAAAATTGATTATATATTTAAGAGTATAATGTAGTTATTCCTATATTCGTGTATACCACATCTCTCAGATGTGTTTGGTTCATGAATATAACATTAACTATACGAACACGATTACGAAATATATTCATATTTCGAAGAATGTTACATTAATTTGTTTGATTTATTTAATCGAAATGTAAGAATATGATTTTTAGGACAAAGAACATATAATTATTTAAAAGCATGTATCTCTAAATTATCATTATTTTAAAAAATTTAAAAATATTTTTTAATATTTATTAGTGTTAATTACAATAATAGAATCAGTTGATTCAAATTATCCTCCTCCCTTCAACATATGTATAAATAATTGCAACAAATGAAAATATTATAGTTGTGTAGAGCTTGAAGTAATTAGCTACAATAGCTCAGTTCGTTAGATTGTGTGGGTATTATTCAAGGCCCTCCTTCTAGTGTTGTTTTCTTTGAAACTTTGAATTCCCCTTTTAATTTTAATACGTTTAGCCATCCAAATAGTTATTTAAAGTAATATGTCAAAAAAAACATTCAATGGCCTATTAGCTAAGTTGGTTAGAGCGTCTTGCTAATAACGCGAAGGTCGCAGGTTCGAAACCTGCATGGGCCAATTATCTTAACATAAGTTGTTGTTCCTCCCATTATGAGAAAGAAATAATATAATTAAATAAAATTTAATTTTAAATTGACATTTGTTCTGCTTACAATATATATTAATTTGATTGTAGAGTATATGATTCTGAAATCGAGTATACAATAATTTTTTTAATAAATTATTTTATTGACTTACTTTCTTCTATATTTAATCTTGATTGGTCTTTCTTGACCTTTCATTTACCAGCTTCATGAATATTTCTCTCAATAATCTCGTTCCAAGGTTTAAACATGGATTCTTTATTTAAGAGTATAATATAGTTATTTTTAGATTTGTTTATGTCATATCTCTCGTATGCGTTTGTTTCATGGATATAAGATTAACTATAAGAATACAATTATGCAATATATTCATTTTATATTTATAGATTATTAATTTGATTATAGAGTATATGATTGTAAAATCGACTATGCAATTATTTTTATATGAAATTATTTTATTGTTTCCCTTTCCTTGATATTTAATCTTGATTGGAATTCAAGACCTTTCATTTACCAGCTTTGTGGATATTTCTCTCAATAATCTAGTTTCAAGGTTTGAACATAGATTCTTAATTAAGAGTATACTGTACTTATTTTTAAATTCATGTATGTCACATCTCTTGGATGCGTTTGGTTCCTGAATATAAGATTAACTATAAGAATACGATTATGAAATATATTGATATTACGAATAATATTACATTATTTTGATTTATTTATTTAATTGAAATGTAAGACTATTATGTTTAGGACAGAGAAAATATGATTATTTAGAAGCATGTATCTCTAAATTTTTTTTTTGATTTTTTAAAAAACTAATTATTTAATATTTATTAGTGTTAATTACCATAATAGGATCATTTGCACCGGACAAATGAAAAGATTGTAGCTGTGCAGTAGTGCAAGTAAATAGTTGGAATAGCTCAGTTGATTTTCTTTGCAACTCTGAATTCTCCTTTTAATTTTAATATGTTTACCCATCCAAGGAGTTATTTAAAGTAATATGTCAAAAGTCATGCAATGGCATATTAGTTTCGCTGGTTAGAGAGTCGTGCTAATAATACGAAGGTCTCTCGATACTTGCATGGGCCAGTTATCCTTACATAAGTTATTGTTATAGAGTATACGATTCTAAAATCGGCTGTACAATAATTTTTATATGAAATTATTTTATTGTTTCCCTTTCTTTAATATTTAATCTTGATTGGACTTTTTAGACATTTTATTTACTAGCTTCGTGGATATTTCTCTCATCTAGTTTCAAGATTTGAACGTGGGTTATTTATTTAAGAGTATAATGTAGTTATTTTTAGATTCATGTATGCCATGTCCCTTGGATACGTTTGGTTCATGGATATATGATTAACTATAAGAATATTATTATGCAATATATTCATTTTATATTTGTTGAGTATTAATTTGATTGTAGACTATATGATTCTGAAATCGACTATGCAATTATTTTTATATGAAATTTTTTAATTGTTTCCCTTTTCTCTATATTTAATCATGATTGGAATTTCAGACCTTATATTTACCAGCTTCGTAGATATTTCTCTCAATAATCTCGTTTATGGTTTGAACATAGATTTTTATTTAAGAGTATAATGAAGTTATTTTTAGATTTGTTTATACCACATCTCATGGATGCGTTTGGTTCATGAATATAAGATTAACTATAAGAATATGATTATGCAATATATTCATATTATGAAGAATATTACATTACTTTGTTAGATTCATTTAATCAAAATGTACGACTGCTGTTTAGGACAAAGAACATATGATTATTTAGATGCATGTATATCTAAAATACATTATTTTAAAATTTATTTAAAAAAACTAATTATTTAATATTTATTAGTGTTAATTACCATAATAGAGTCATTTGCTCAAAATGATCCTGCTCCCTTCATCCTATGTTTAAATCATTCCGACAAATGAAAAGATTGCAGTTGTGTAGAAATAGAAGTAAATAGGTGGAATAACTCAATTGGTTAGAGTGTGTGGCTATTAACCACAAGGTAGGAGGTTCAAGCCCTCCTTCTAGCGTAGATTTTCTTTGAAACTCTGAATTCTAATTTTAATTTCAATATGTTTAGCCATCCAAATAGTTATTTAAAGTAATATGTCAAAAGACATGAAATGGACTATTAGCTTAGTTGGTTAGAGCGTCTTGCTAATAATACGAAGGTCACAGATTCAAGACCTGCTTGGGCCAATTAGCGTTACATAAGTTGTTGTTCATCTCATCATGAAAAATTAATATTGGAAGATAATAAAAAATAATTCTAAATTAACATAATCAAATTTAACATTCATTCTACTTATAATATATGTATATATAAATATGTTTATAGAGTATATGATTATGAAATTAACTATACAAAAATTTTTATATGAAATTATTTTTTCTCTTTCTTCTATATTTAATCTTGATTGGTCTTTCTAGACATTTCATTTACCGCTTCATGGATATTTTTCTCAATAATCTCGTTTCAAGGTTTGAACATGGATTCTTTATTTATGAGTATAATGTAGTTATTTATAGATTTGTGTATGCCACATCTCTCAGATGTGTTTGGTTATTGGATATAAGATTAACTTAAGAATACAATTATGCAATATATTCATTTTATATTTATAGAGTATTAATTTGACTATAGAATATATGATTCTGAAATCTACTATGCAATTATTTTTATATGATATTATTTTATTGTTTACTTTTCTTCTATATTTAATCTTGTTTGGAATTTCAGACCTTTGATTTACCAACTTCATCGATATTTCTCTCAATAATCTTGTTTCAAGGTTTGATAATTGATTCTTTATTTAAGAGTATAACGTAGTTAATTTTAGATTCATGTATTCCACATCTCTTAGATGCGTTTTGTTCATGAATATAAGATTAACTATGAGAATATGATTATGCAATATATTCATATTTTGAAGAATATTACATTATTTTTGTTTGATTCATTTAATCAAAATGTAAGACTATGATGTTTAGGACAGAAAACGTATAATTATTTATAAGTATGTATCTCTAAATTATCTTTATTTTATTTTATTTTAAAAAAAACTAGTTATTTAATATTTATTAGTGTTAATTACCATTATAGAATCATTTGCTCCAAATTATCCTCCTCCCTTCAACATATGTATAAATAATTCTGACAAATGAAAATATTGTAGTTGTGTAGAACTTGAAGTAATTAACTAGAATAGGTTAGTTGGTTAGAGTGTAAGGCTATTATTCAAGGTCTGATGTTCAAGCCCTCATTCTAGCGTTGTTTTCTTGTAACTTTGATTTCTCATTTTAATTTCAATATGTTCAACCATCCAAATAGTTATTTAAAGTAATATGCCATAAAACATGCATTGGCCTATTAGCTTAGTTGGTTATAGCATCATGTTAATAACGCGAAGGTTGCAGGTTCGAGACCTGCATGGGCCAATTATCTTTATATAAATTTTTGTTCCTCCCATTATTAAACAAAAATAATTTAAGTTATTAAAATTTAATTCTAAATTAACACAATCAAATTAAGCATTTATTATGCTTACAATATATATATATATGTATTAATTTGATTGTAGAGTATATGATTCTCAAATGGACTATATAATAATTTTTATATTAAATTATTTTATTGTTTCCCTTTCTTCCATATTTAATCTTGATTGGTCTTGCTAGACCTTTCATTTACGAACTTCGTGAATATTTCTCTTAATAATCTCATTTCAAGTTTTAAACATGGATTCTTTATTTAAGAGTATAATGTAGTTATTTTTAGATTCGTGTATGTCATATCTCTCATATACATTTTGTAACCCCCACAGACCGATGTGGTTGGCCCGATCCGATATAGGGAGTCACATTAGGGCCACCAGAGAGACCCATAATAAAAATCTAGGAAAAATTAAACTTTTTGTTAAAAAGCTTAAAATCATAAAACAATTTATAAATACAATAGTAAAATTTAACAATGTTCAGAAATAAAATAAATTTCAGACTCGTATATAAAACAAAATATAACCTACATGCCCCCTAATCACATATACCATACTCTGCAAGCATCGCTGCTGGAGCTCCCTTACTGATGTCGATAGCTGTGCTGGTTTGATTCTTTTAATCTACTAAGTTGAGTCAAGGAGATAGTTATTAGAAGCTCAATAATACAAAACTACCAATTGATGCTACATGACATGCAGATAAATGGAAAGAACTAAAATTTCCTTGTTGACTCAGACTTATACAGGTTTTCAGAATGAGTTGTGGTTCCACTGATATTTTTTCAAGTAATAGGTATGAAGATTTCAGTTCAGTGAAAGAATTCAGATATCCAGGTTCAGGAGATTATAATAGTGTGTCTGGTGTGTTCCAACCAAAACTAGTGAAAATATATAAATATTTTAAAACAATAACTGTTTAGAACATGTTTTCAAAACCATAGTGGAACCCTCTAACCGAACACTGTTATACAGTTCCCCAGAACTGCATCCATAAGGGCTTATCCTAAGCACGTAGCAAAGGGAGCCACCCTAAGGGAATGTCTCGGGGCCTGAGAGCCTACCCAGGAAAGTTTATCGGGGCCTCAGAGCCTACTCAAGGGTCACCTTAGGTTCATAAGGATTTACCAGTTGGATCAGAGTTGAACCTCCACACTCTAGAATTCTACCCATACATAATCCAGTAGAAATTAGTTTTATTATTAAACCATAATATTTGGATCGTGATCCAGTAAAATCTCACAAACGTGACAATTAAATAAAACAAATAACTGCCCTCCACCCGTACACCATATGCAGCTCCCCAGAATTGCATCCATACGGAAACCTTATACCCATTTGATATAAGGAGCTAGCCTAAGAGAGCATCTTGGGGCCTAAGAGCCTACCCAAGAAAGTTCTTGGGTCCTCGGGGCCTTAGAGCTTACCCAAAGGTAATTTTAGGTCTGTAAGGATTTACCAACTTGATTAGAGCTGAACATCCATTCTCCAGCCTACCTGGAAAATGTTTCAATAAAACAGTTCAAGCAATAACCAGTGAAAACATAAAATTATGGTTTATAAATCAATAAATTCCATGATTCCATAAATCATGAACAATTCATATTTTTCGGTGAAAATTGTAATCAGAGAACACATGCCATGTAGCCATGGTTCATAAGCCAGTAAATCAATAAATTTTAGTAAAATGCATTTCATAACATATAAAACAATCATATAGTATATGGAGAACACACTAGAGGATCCAAGTATTTTTCAGATGTACTTAATAGTTATGAGGAATGGAAAACATGAAACTTATGCAATTTGATTAGATTCCAGGAATGAGGTCCTATTGAAAAGGGATCGATTACTAACAGATCTATAAGTCATTTAAAATTGATACTTTAGGACCCCTTTATGGTTTAGGTGCATCAGAAAGGTGTTCAGGAACCTTTACATCAGAATAATTTAAGATTCATATTCACTAAGAGTGATCCATTATCTGGGCCAACAAGGTCATTTTAGACATTACGATATCTACTGGATTCTTATCAACTTAATCTTATAAGGATGAATTGATGATTCATGGTATTCAAGATTCAATTTAATTTATTAGGATATAGGGTCAACTAGAGCTGATCAAATCCCAACATTGTGATACTTGTCAACCACTTTAATAATGACAGCACTAGTCGAACTGATCATCTTCAGAACAATCGTCGAACTGAGCTTGAGGAACTTTACTTATTTCGATGGTATTAGCTCAACTCATGAATTGCAACAGTCTCTAAGATGACCAACGTACTTGAGTCGTATTCCCCAATCTTTTATTGGCGATACAATATTTAGGTTTTCTCAGTGTTTCCAGAATTTATCCAATAATGTTCACTTATTTCTAGGTCATGAAGGTATTTGGATCATTTTCGTACTCAAGATTACTACAATCACCTTGAAGATCCAAGTATTTTAATCTTTTTATGGTTTAGGGGTATTTTAATCATTTTTATATTAGAGTTACTTTAATATTTCACAACTCGATGATATTTCATTAATTTCCTTTCAATCCAAGCTTACGTATCTTTTCTGGTAATTTGACAAATATATCCATTCAAAGTTATTTGAAATTTCAAGATTTAATAATTTTGAATTATCAGGATTTCAATTCCCATTTGAGTTACAAGTCCCAACACTACGATACTCGTCAATCATTCATACCGTGATATTTCCATATTATTCATTTCTTAACATTGAATGCACTAGTTGAACTGATCAATATCATGATCTGAATGGTTATTATGGAGACAAACAAGTATTCCAATGGTATTTATTTCATTTCTGTGTTGCAACGGTATTATGAAATGTTGACATGATTATTTCGTGGCTCAAAACCCTTATGAATGTACAACATATAAGCTCATCAAGGTTCTAGACTTATCCAAGTCATTCATTTAATTCTATGTCATTGAGAGTACATAAGTCATTCTGTAGTCAACTTTATCCCGATCACTTCGGAGTTTCCAGAGGAATTCAATCATTTCCACTATTCGAATGCATACTATACTTCCACTTAGTTCAACTTGGTCATATAATATAATCATTTTACACTTCAAGAGTATTTTATCATTTTTACTTTATAAGGGTATTTTGGTAATTTTACCCCATAGTGTTATTTTTGGTAATTTCTTATCCAATTAATCCCAACACTGAAACTTTAACCAGATTAATTAGAATTTACGAGTTCTGAGATTGATTGATTTACTGATTAAATCATTAAACTGAGATTTATTTCCGACCGGTCTACCAATTTCTCTTTTTCGAGTCTTCTGAGTCTTATACATTGTTTTTTCTTGTTTCCAATTTTCATCTGAGTCCAATAATAGTTAAATACTTCTAATGGACCAATCATTTTCATTCATGCATTTACCATCTATCAAAGAGTTTCGAAAAGCATACAAAAGGTAGTATAGTATTACCTCAATTTTTGTGCCATATCGATCGACCATTTAAACTCCATTCGATCACCCTCGAACTTTAGTTCAAAGTCCAATAATCCCTCGAATACATAGCAAATAATTTGACGTCAGAAATTGAACTTAATGGAGAAACCATATTGAATCTGAAGGTAAATTACTGCAAACAGTTTATCGAGTGTGAAATTGGAAAAATAGACTTCGGATTCGGACTCAGGACATCGAAAAACAAAAATATGACCTTTTTTGAAAAAGTTAACTTTTTTGTCAAAGTTAACGGTCAAAATCAATGGGTTGACTCGGACGAGTTAACTCAGACGAATTAACTCAATCTGGGTTGATTTGGTTGGGTCAAACATACTCGGTTCAGACCGATTCTAGAAACTTCATGGACTGGCGGAGGAGCCCCACGCACACTAGCAACGCGTACGGCGGTGATAGGGGCCATTTTGAATAGTCAAATCTCCCCTGAGCAAAAGCACACTTAAATCAATCCATATTAGTCCAATATTCAATACAAAACAAAAAAAAATCAACCCAAATTAATATTTGGAACCTTACCCACCGATGATTAATGAAAACAACGACAATGGTTCGACCCACACATTGGGTCACAAACGCCCGCGAACAACGATGCTAACGACATAGGAGATGAGACGAGAGGGTAACAGAGGCAGTCGGAATCGAAGAAAAATAGTAGTGATGTTCATCTTTCACTGTGAAGCTTCGAATGGTGATTCACTGTATTTCACAGTGTTGTTCGGTGCGGAGAGACTTGGGTTTTGGTCAACGAATGATGGGGAGTCAAACTGAGGTAATGACACATTCTACGGTGGCCAGACCGCGAGGATTCGAGGTGATAAAGGTTGGCGAGGGTTAGTGCAATTGATTTGGGTTTTTTCTAATTTAGGGATTTGGGGAAATTAACTGTTCTAACCAAATATAAATGGGTTAATTCGAGATTAGGTCCCTCAATTGTATTCAAGTTTGCACAATAGCCATCATATTTCAAAATCTTATAATTTGACCCCTAAATTGGGGTGTGACACATTTGATTCAAGGATATAAGATTAACTATAAGAATATTATTATGAAAAATATTCATTTTATATTTATAGATTATTAATTTGATTATATAGTATATGATTATGAAATTGGCTATGCAATTATTTTTATATGAAATTAGTTTATTGTTTCTCTTTCCTCGATATTTAATATTGATTGGAATTTCAAACATTTCATTTACCCACTTCGTGATATTTCTCTCAATAATCTAGTTTCAAGGTTTGAACATAGATTCTTTACTTAAGAGTATATTGTAGTTATTTTTAGATTCATGTATGCCACATTTCTTGGACGTGTTTGGTTCATGAATATAAGATTAACTATAATAATATGATTATGGAAAATATTGATATTACGAAGAATATTACATTACTTTGTTTTATTTATTTAATCAAAATGTAAGACTATGATGTTTAGGAGAACATAC